CGGAAGCTCCGCCACCACCCGACTCGGGATCCTTTTTGGCACCGCCCTCCCCTGCCACTGGCTTGGGCGGATAGGCAATGGGCTTGGGTATGGGCGTGTCACTCAGCACAATATTGATCAGACAGTACTCCATGAGGGCCATGAACACGAACACCGTGCACACGGACATGAAGGCATCCACGGCCTTGAGGTAGGAGACGGGCGGCAGCGAGGACTGCGACTTGGCGTGCTGCGTGGAGAGTGTGAGGAGGGAGGTGACACCCAGAGTAACCCTGGCCGGTGCAGCCTCTGGCTTAATCCAGAAGGACACCCACGACATGATCACAATCATGCAGGTGGGTATGTAGGTGTTGAAAACATAGTAAACGAGACGCCGCTTCAGCGTGAAGACCACCTCTAGGCAGGTGAAGTTGCCCGTAGAATAGACCTGCGTGCAGTCCGCTGTCTCATTGCGTATGAGTGCCACTTGGGGCAGCTCTATGTTCTCATCCACCACGAGAGGTGTCGTGGGATCCCATTGGAAGATCAAATCATCTGTGGTGTGGGATACTGGGGGAGAGAAGAGACCATAAAGTAAAGAGCTTTATGCACAAGAATTACCCTACTTACAGCTCTCCATTTGCAGCTTGCATTCCTGTGTGTCGTGCGGATAGATGGCAAAGTTCATGATGCACGACAGCTTGAGGGTCAGCTTGACCATGTAGAGGATCGTCTTGTCCTTGTACAGCCACATGTAGTGATTGGGTATGGTCATGGTCTGGAACGTGACCGACTTGGCATTCTTGAAGAAGGAATCCGGACGCCACATGTTCTTGAGCCAATCGACTTCCAGCAGCCGATACTCTTGGGTCATGTTCTCGGGCAGACGCAGGCGATGATCCTTCCAGGTTTGTGCAAAGAATACATCCGCCACATACGTCATGGAGTTCTCATCGATAGAGTCGAGACCCATGACAGTCACATGGAAATAAACTATCGTGGGCTGTCCCTCCTTTTTGGGTGGTCGCATCTTGTCGTAGCGTTTGATGTCCTCTGGGAGAATGTCTGTGATGGCTAAACTTTGTCTGTAGATGGGATTCAGTTAGATTATAGATGGAAATATATATAGTCCCCGATTTACCCCATTTACTCACTGAAATTCCCCTTTGGCATACTGCTTGAGGCAGATGAAGCAAATTACCAGCAGGAATATTTGTGCCACCATCTCGCTGAGCCGCCCTCAGGGTTCTTCCTGTGTGTGCAGTAGGTGACAAAAGACAAAAGACAAAAGACGAATATTGATGCATAAATCGGATATTTCATTGACCTTCGCCTTCGCCAAAGGATCAAAGACGAAGGATTCCGTTCGCTCGTCCTTGACAGTCGACCATCGACATTCGAGAGATTCGAGAGCGATTGACACGTGAAAAGTAGCAACAATTATGCTGCTTGCCCAAGTAAATAAAAATATAACAAAGGACCAAGTAAATCGTCCTCGGCATTGGCTGCGCTGGATGACAACCCTGGCAGGCGATACCTGTCTCCCCCTTCTGTGTCGCTCTCCTGCCGCACAATACACGTCTTAATTCACAATTAAAGCCACTCGAAGGCTAACCAGGGGTAGAAGAAGGGGCCACGGGTACGGGTATGTGTACTGCCGCCGCTCCTTAAGTGGCCCCATGCGCCTTTTTGTGCGCCACGACGATGATGCGGTGCGGAGGAGAGAGCACAAGCGGGAAGCAATGAAAGAGGAATCACCGCCAATGCAGCAGCAGCCCCCCATTAGACAAGGACAATTGTCGGAGGTAGAATTCGTACTTCGGCTTTAGGAAGGGGTTTGTCTTGTAGTTTTTTTATTGCGGGAAATTGGGGACAACTTAAAGAATCGTAAATTAGATTATTTTCAGATTTCAATAGATTTTCCCAACACATTTTGATATTTTGTGACTATTTTCTTCATGGAGAGTTGCGCTTTTTTACTAAAGTAGAAGAATATTAAGAGAAGAAAACACTTCACGGAATAAGTATTGAAATATTGGAAATTGGGAAACCAATTTGAAGTTTAACGAGATTGAATGTCATTTCTCTTATTAGCTAGGAGATTATTTTAATGAACTAAAATGTTTTTTGACTCTCTGATATTAAAGGCAAAAGTGTATATTATACAATTATGAAAAATAAACACTTAAGGAAAGCGCTGAGAACTTCTTCTTGTGCCGTTTAATTTTATTTTTAGACATTTCTAATGCCAGAAACTAAGACTTTTAAAATTAAATCAAAAATTAATCAAACTCAGAACTTAAATTTAAATATTACAGAAGAGATTTGCTGTTAAGCAGATGGTTCTCTTGTAGTTCAACTTTGATCAAAGTGTTCTTACACAATCAATAGACAGAGACTAGAGCTGGGATAGATTTTGTATCACCTCCTCAGCAGCTCCTCGTTTCTGAAGCACTTAAATTTTGTTCGATTTCTAGAATCTTTCGAATCTGCCGAGCGATTGCATAACCATCAGCTCGACAATCTCATGGATTCATTTGAAACTCGAACTTTTTCCATTAATTGAACACTTGCGAAATTACAATTTTAGCACTAATAAATATGGAAAATATTATTTATTTAATTTCTTAGAACTTTAAGATTTTGTTGGGTAGATTTCCCGTTCTCTTTCTATTTTAGTTTCTTTCCGATCTGAACGTCTTTACAGTTCGAACTGTCGCTGGCAACTGACAGTTGGAGGCGCCTCCGATTTGAATTTAAAACGTTGCACGGGTAACCCGAACCAGCCGAAGGATGTCAGGCTGGATGCTTGACGATGGATGGGCTGGTGTCTGTGTGTGCTCGGGGGGAGGGATAGGGTTCTCGGGTACGGGTACGGGTACGGGTTCGGGGTTCGTTCTGTCTTTCAGACTGCGGTTTGGTCGGGCAAAACAAAAGTGAAAGCCGTCCTGGAAATGTGTGTAGACTTTAATATCGGGAGAGAAAACAAGGAACTAAACACAGATCCTATGTGACAATGGATGCGACTGCGACTACGACTACTGCGTGTGTGTATCTGCTACTACTACTATGATATATATAGGACACGGGCAAATATCCTTCTGCCTTGTCGTCGTCTTGTGCCTCGTCGTCGTCGTCTGTTTGTCTTGCCTCAGTCACTTAACATAATTTCCACGAGTGCTTTGGCATTGCCTCCTTTTGCCACATAATCTGTGGCTCTGCTCTGGGGTGCTCTGTCGTCATCGACATTGTTGCCACATCCCGCCCTGATGCATTGCCAGGACCTTCATCATGCTGCGACATTTGTCTATCGATTTGATGCAATATTTAATTCGGGGATAGCTACCTCCTCCCTCCCTTTGCCCCTTGGCTAGTTCGAATCTTTTTGTATTTCGTTCACACGTTTTGCTCTTTAGTTTTTGTTAGTTTTTCCAAGCAATTGGGAGGCTTGTTAAGGTCCTTCCGCAACTTGTCAAGTGCTGCTGGTCCCAAGGAGCGGACCATTTGTCGCAGCAAAAGTTGAACCATGGGGGAGAAGTGGAGGGTTGCAGGGATGGATGGATACGGAGGCATAAGTGAGCAGACACTTTGGGACGGACCTCTGTCCGCATGGTGGGTAATGAATGCAACGGAACCAACGGTAATCCAATGAACCCTCCTCCAGCCCAGCGCCTGACGTCACACGGATGCACAAATCAGAAGGAAAAATGAAACATGAATGAGAGGGAAAGACAGCGGGAAATCAAGTTTAATGAGATGACAAAAGAGCTTCGGTTGAGTGGCCCAAGGGGAGAAGGCGTGGAGAAGAAAAGCCGATAGGATTTTTGCTGCAAAAATAGGAAGAGAGGTTTACAATGAAAGTAGGGATGTACCCTTATCATGGAGTTTTAAGCTCTTAACAGTTATACTATACCTATATATATAAGTACGAGAATATCAAATGAACACTTGATTGCCGATATATTGTTGGGCATTTTAAAGATCTATTAAAAAAGGTTAACATTAAAAGCGTTTAATTTGCATCATAAATTATGGAATACATGCGGAATGCAGAGGTGTCAGGTAAGAGATTATAAATCTATTTATCAGTCCATCAACCCATCTATAGGTTTATTCTCACTACTTTCTATCCGTATCACACCTAATGGGATTCCACTGCATATATTTTCTTATATCCATTGAAACAGCTTCCATTTCTTATGGTTTTCTTACATTTTTTCCTTTTATTTATAACCAAATGTAAATATATGCAGATAAATAGATAATCTTCAGCCTGGAAATACCTGTTGGGGGGTGGAATGGGAGGATGCCTGCCTGTCCTAACCTTGAAGCAGTTGTCACCCCACTAGAGACATGTGTGATGTGGGGCCGGAGGAGCTTCTCCTCTATGTTTTCTATACAGCTACAGCTATCCAGCCTGCCGCCTGGCCTGCCACTCAACGCCTTGGCGCAACACTCTTCAAACGGCACCAGCTACACATCAAAATCCTTTCTGTTGCTGGCCTCCGACACAGGCGTCGGCAAGAAGAAGGACTCGTCGTTATTAAATTATCTCTGATGCGATAATAACACACTTAAGCCCCCCTTTCTCTATAGATGGATGGCTGGGGGGATGGCTATAAAAAGCCGCAGATTTTTCTATAGTTTATTCGAATGCAGTCGAGCTTGGACCCGCACCGACCTGAGTGCTCGTGCACGCTTTTCACAGAGACGTTGCCCCGGCATTCTGCTGCATCCTGCCACAACTGCTGCTGCACCACTAAGTGGTGCTCTTAAGTTTCTGCTGAGGGCAGCAGCAGCAGCCATAGCCACCGCTGCAGCGGTGCGAAATTCGCAAAAGGTTTTGGCCGCACTTTCAATTTGAAAAGAGAGCGAAATTTCTTCTTTTTTTCACTTGGCTTTCTGGCTTTTAACAAGCTACGCGCGCTACGTCATAGAACATAGAAATTTGTGAAATAAATTATGAAAAAAAAACCAAAAAAAAAATCAAAAAATACTTGAAGAAATAGAAAATAGATTTTGCAGTTGCCTGGGAAAATGTAAATGTATTTTGTAATACTTGTATATTGTGGTGTATATGACGTCAATTGCGGCAAGGTCGTGTAAATTATTAAGAAGAAATAAGACAAAAAGGCACTGGCACGGCCTGATTCAACTCCACTCAAGCTAGTGGCCACTCAAGATCGCACATTGAAAGATGGCAAAGTATGGCAAGGAGGATGATTGTGTGCTTCTAATCATGGCAGAGGTAATTTCGACCAAACAAATCGATATCTTCCTGAATCGATAAGTAGTTTTATCGATCGTCAACTTCTTGTTTGCTCCTTTACCATTCCAATCTCTCGCTTTCATCGCCACTTCCTGGCCATAGAAACGCAGACAAAATGACATTAAAAATTAATAATCAAACACACACACATGCAGTGCCCCACAGAGAAGCCTGTGACCCACATTTAGCCCCCCAAATATGCGGAAGTTTGTCTGAATGGGAAACCAACACACCCACTCCCCCCCCCCCCACTCTCGCTCTCACTCTGTTTGGGACTCTCTCTGTCTTCTCTCTCCAACTCCCTGTCTGTTCCACCCTCGACTTCATTCATGAAAAGGCCCCACAGCGGAGGACATTGAACCGCATTGACAATGTTAATAAGGGAGTTGCCAACGGGGTTGGATGGTGGGGAGTCCCTAACCAAGCAACAGTTGCCAATAGAGGGTGCGAGCTAGGGAGGCTCTGGCTCTCTCGAGAGAGCGGAGGGCGCGCATCGTCCAGGTGGGCGATGTCAGCAATGTTGACAAACAAAACCTGTAGCCGTTGGCCAACACGTGTGCGGTTCCAAGTCACAAACGAATGAAAGGTGGGGCATCCATGAGGATAAGTAATCCATTTAGCAGGGATGATTACATAAATATTGTTACAAAATGTCTTTAGAGATCGACAATGCGCACAAAAAAGTAATTCCCTTGATAGTTTTACTGCCTTACCTGCTCCGCAACATGTCCTGCCTCTGCAGTTCCGCTCTCTTATCAGCGTGGGAGTGTGTGTGGTGTGTGCGTGCATGCCAATGGGTGGTGGGTGGGTGTGGAAGTGAGCGAGTGGGTTGCTTGATGCGCCTGCGCCGTGTCCCATCCAAAAAACCAGCTGAGCCCTAAAACTCGAAGCTGGTGACGTCTCGTCTATCGATTTATACCCGACACGCAGGACGCGCGCACACAAACTGCAGTTTTTCATGCTGCTGCTGCTGCCGTTTCCGCAAAAACAGGATTATTCACACAAAATGCATTAAAAGCGGAACAGCAAAAAATCCTCCATCGACTCGACTGTCTGCATACTTGCAGGCGCAGCGCGGCTCTTCCAAAGCGATCCACAAGATGATCAAACTGCGACCATATGTGCCCTCGAAGCGCATTGCCATACGGGACTCTTCCATCGACGAAGACATCAGCGACGATGTGGACGATGAGGTGTTCATCAAGGATGCGCGCTCGGCCAAGGTGAGTGTGCATCGCATAGGACTTGGCACTGCAGAGGGGAACATACACTGCCGCTCACTTGAATAGGAAAAGCAACAGAATCTTTAATATTAGTTTGCGGATGCTAAAACTTTCTTACAAACAAATAACACAAATATAAGCGGCAGGAGCTCTACTGTTGAGCTTAAGTATAGCGAAAATTCATCAGAATAGGTAAGGAAAAAAAAAGAGTCAATAGTCACACTCGAAAGGCGAAAGGTTGATGATAATATAAAGTTAATAAAAACCCCAAGAAACCACCAGGCGGCGGCATACAAAACATATTAGCAGCAGTTAATTACGTTAGCTAAGCTTCTAAGCATCTAAAACCACTCGAACTTCAACACAAACAAAGACTTCATCCTGAACGCAAGACGGAGCATAGAGCCGCCTTCGCGGCTGTAAATTCTTGCAGAATTAAAGAGTACAAAGTACCAAATGCTGTTTCTATTAAACTGAGCGGCAGTGTATGTTTACCTCCTTTGTTTCGCTCCCACAGCGCAGCGAGGAGCAAGGCCTGAAGCGTCCACTGATGGCTCCGCGACGCAAGCACAGTTCGGGTTCCATTTCCGGCTCGGGTTCCTCTGCGCCCATCATGAAGCTGCACAAGCGACGACGCTGCGGACGCTGCTGTGAGCCCTTCTGCTATGCGCTGGCTGCCATCACCGTAATCTGTGCGTTGCTCAGCCTGGCCGCGCTCATGCTCACGCTCTTCCCACTGCCGCTGCAGCGGATCCGACACTGGTGGCGCGACGATCCCAGCCAGCTAGGCGGCTACTCCGCCGTTGCAGCTGCCTCCAGCATTGGTTATGGCAGCAGTTTGGGCAGCGAGTTTGTGCCCTGCACTCAGATCAGTGTACAGAAGCGCTGGACACGCAGCCTGGCCCGCATGAACAGCGAGAGTCCGCTGCGAGCTGCGGATCTGAATGGGGATGGCGTGCAGGATGTGATTTTTGGCTATGGCGTGGACGACAACATCCACTACGAGGGCATTCCACTGCCACGCTGCAAGTCCTCGCAGGGCGAGGACGAAGTCCCCTGCGAAGGCGGTGTGGTGGCTCTCAACGGCAGGGACGGCACCATCCTGTGGCAGTCCTGGAGCGTCGCGAATGTCTTCTCGCTGCACTGCAGCGCCGATGTGGACGGGGATGGCGGCCTGGACTGTGTGGCAGCTGGAAGACTTGGGGTGAGCATTATTCAAGCCTATAAACCCTGAATCCTTACCAGAAATCCTCATTTTACAGATGATTTATGCCATCAATGGACGCACAGGCGCTGTCATCTGGCACTTTCGTGAGCTGGAGGTGGAGACCAACTCCCCCATCGTCATGGATCTGTATACGATCAATGTGCTGCGTGACCTCGATGGCGATGCTGTGCCAGAGCTGATTGCCGCCCATCTGGAGGAGCGCGAAGAGTCCAAGGCGGGCCACATCAAGCTGATTTCGGGCAAGACGGGAAAGGTGATCCGCAGCATACCGACGCCCTATCGCGAGGAGATGTTTGTGCCCATCCAATTGCTCACCCAGCCGGACGGCACCGAAGTGCTGCTCATCCTCACGGGTGGCCAGAACACCCCCGGCGGTGTCTACTCTCTGCGGCTGCACTCGCTGATGGCGCACACGAGCGAGAAGCATTTCACTCCACTCTACCAGCAGCCAGGATCGGGTCTGATGGTCCCAGCCGTGCTCACCGATCTCAATGGGGATGGCGTGTCCGATGTGGTGGTGGCCGCCTTCAACAGCACCGTCTACGCCTTCGACGGGGCCAACTACAGCGTCATGTGGAACTACACCTTCCCGGCCAGCGAGTGCGTGAGCGCCATCGTGCCTGGGCACTTTAACCACGATAATGTCACCGATTTCATGGTCAAGTACAACTCCGGACCGGGCTTTCCCGTCTACTACTACTCGCAGACGACCATACTGGACGGACGCACGGGGCAGCCGCTGCTCAATGCCATGATGACGGATGCGGGCGGTGCCAATAGTCTCCTGGGAGGCGTCTCCATATCGCAGAGCTTCGGTGGTGACTTTTTCCTGCACTGGCAGATCCAGTGCCGCAACAAACCCAATGCCCGGGATGCCTACGAGTTTGTGCCGGACAGCGACATCATTCTGCAGGCCCGGGCGGACACCTGTCGCCTGCGCTACAACGAATCGACGGTGCTGAAGCTCTACGCGATTGCCAGGCACATTGAGCCACCGGGGGCGGTGCTCTTCAGCACTGACGACCTGGAGGTGCAGCTGAATCGCACACAGCGGCCGGCTCCAGCCGGCAAGCAGTCGCCGCTTAAGCACCCAAAGCTGCTTAAGAAGTTGCTGGCCAATCGGGAGCAGCTGCTGCGCCAGGTGGCCGAGGCGGAGCAGGCGGTGAAGCGGAAGCATCACAAGCACAACCCACTGATGGAGCAGCAGCTGCAGGAGCTCCTCCCCAACGAGATTCCGCCATTCGGTGGCAGTGTCTATCCCAAGGAGTTTGTAAGTTTTCGCTGTTTCGATGATTGAAGTTCGATTTCCATTGATTTGATTCCCACTCATCACGCCAGAAGGACTACGAGCAGGTGCCGCCACTGCCGCCAGATGGCTCCAGTCCAATGCGCGTGCCGGAGGAGTACGAGATGGTCTACAACGACGAAGTGCCTCAGCTGATTGAGAACGAGCGGCCCATCCATTTGCGCAGCAAATATCCTAGCGGCAGCAATCGGGACGTGCGCAGCGGCAGCCTCGACAGCACGACCACAAGCAGCAGCACCACTAGCACCACCAGTGTGCCACTGTCTGCCCAGTCTCCGCTCAGCCTGTGGGATCTGGAGCTGGACAACGAGGCCAGGGAGCAGGCGGTGGAGGCGGCAGCATTGGAGGCCTCACAGAAGAGCCGTCGGCGACGCAAGCGTCAGCGTCGCGAGGAGACCTCCTCGCGTGCGACCACAGCGGCAGGCGAGGACGCAGGTGCAGGTGCAGGAGAGGATTGGTATTTGGCATCCATTTCCTCCACTGGGGTGCTGCTCAAGGCCCTGGGGAATGCCAGCTCCTCGCTGGATTTTGCCTTTGTGCTCAACATACGCGAATCGGAGGCCTATCCTCCTCTGTTCTCCCCACAGGATCTCAGCTGTGTGGAGGAGAAGATCAGCGCCTACAAGAGTAAGAGCAGAAGAATGCAATTGGAGAGATTGATCCATTTTCATTACCCTTTTGCAGGCTATACCATCGATAATTTGCGCGTTTTACGCAAACAGTTCCTGAAGCAGTGCCTCAGCGAGCGGCTGGTGGACTCGGAGCCCGCGCTGCCCAAGTTCGAGTCGCAGCTGATTGTGACGCGCATTGGGATCACCTGCACCTGCCGATCGCTGCAGCCAGGCGAAGTGTGCTCCGAGCTGGATCCCCTCGACGCACAACATTGGACAGAGTTTATGGGCAACCATGGACACGGTTACTATGCTAATCGCTAAACGCTAAAACCCAAAATGGGTGGCACAACAGGAGGGGCAGCCACGCAGTAGCAGCAACTGCGGTTTTGGTTTTTTTGGCCGCCGCCTGCAATGCTGCTAAGCGTCTCCCTTCCACTAAACTCTTTCTCTGTAACTCTCTCTCACTTTGTCTCGATGTCACTATTGTAATTTATCGTAATTTGCGTGTTGTGTGGGGTTTCTTGTAACGGTAAAACAGTATTTACATGTGTATTTGTGTATATTTTATGTGTTTTTTTAAACAAAACAAATAAAATTAATCCAATTTCAAAGTGCGCCGATAGATAGATAGTCCGATAACTCACAGAGTTGCCAGATGTGCAGCCATGGAACAGCTGTTCCACGAGGGCTGCACACGCACCCGTTCCTACCACGCTGCATCCCTGGGAGCCCGCTCTGCTGGCTAAAATAATAAAACGCGAAATTTGTGTTTTTGTTAATTGAATGCCCGGCCCACAGACACAAACATCATTATGGGCATCCTAGAGAAGATTGCTGAGATCGAACGTGAGATTGCACGCACACAAAAGAACAAGGGTAAGTGAGAGACGCGAAGGCCGGCAACCAACACCCCCCCCCAACAGACCAGACCAGGCCAGACTCTGCTGCCGCCGCATTGGAATTTAGGTTAGGATTTCACTTTATTTTCTTTGTTTTGCTTGTGCGTCTTGTTGCAGCCACCGAGTACCATTTGGGTCTGCTGAAGGCGAAGTTAGCCAAATATCGCTCCCAGCTGCTGGAGCCCACGAAGAAGGGCGAAAAGGGTGAGGGTTTCGATGTGCTCAAAAGCGGAGATGCCAGAGTGGCGCTTATTGGTTTTCCCTCTGTGGGCAAGTCCACAATGTTGTCCACACTGACCAAGACAGAGTCGGAGGCGGGTACGTACAGCTCTTCCCTATCAAGTTCCCCCCAAACCACTTTCATTCTTGATTTCTTTCCACCCCCCAGCCAACTACGAGTTCACCACGCTTACGTGCATTCCCGGCGTGATCGAGTACCAGGGCGCCAATATCCAATTGCTCGATTTGCCCGGTATCATTGAGGGTGCCGCACAGGGCAAGGGTCGTGGTCGTCAGGTGATTGCCGTGGCACGCACGGCCGATCTGGTGCTAATGATGTTGGATGCCACCAAGCCGAATGTGCACAGGGAGCTGCTCGAGCGGGAGCTGGAGTCCGTGGGCATTAGGCTGAACAAGCGCAAGCCCAACATTTACTTTAAACAGAAAAAGGGCGGCGGCCTGAGCTTCAATTCGACCTGCACCCTGACGCGATGCAGCGAGAAAATGGTCCAGATGATCCTACACTCCTTCAAGATCTTCAACGCCGAAGTGCTGTTCCGGGAGGATTGCACCGAGGACGAGTTCATCGATGTGGTCACCGCCAATCGTGTCTATCTGCCTTGCCTTTATGTGTACAACAAAATCGATCAGATCTCCATCGAGGAGGTGGATCGCCTGGCCCGCCAGCCCAACTCCATTGTCGTGAGCTGCAACATGAAACTGAACCTCGACTACATGCTGGAGGCTCTCTGGGAGGCCCTACAACTGATCAGGGTATACACCAAGAAGCCCGGCGCACCGCCAGACTTTGACGATGGTCTGATTTTGAGAAAGGTCAGTCTAGAAAACTCTGTTATAGTCCGTAGCTAATGCTCACTTCTCCTCCTCATCCTCCTGCAGGGCGTCAGTGTGGAGCATGTCTGCCATGCCATTCATCGAACGCTGGCCGCGCAGTTCAAGTATGCCCTGGTCTGGGGCACATCTACCAAGTACTCACCGCAGCGCGTGGGCATTGCCCATGTGATGGGCGACGAGGATGTCATACAGGTGGTCAAGAAGTAGGGGGATCCGCTTTCGACTCGTTTTGGTGTAACCAGATTGTTGATCTTTGTCTCTGGCCCGGTTGGAAATGAAATATATTCTATTCTATATTTAAAGCCTCGCGAGGAACACTTTTACTTTTCGCTTTATATTTAACGATGATTTATTTCAACACAAGGAAGCATTCGTGGAAGCTTCACTTGGCTGCCGCATTGCTGGAGGATGCCGCCGCCGCCGAGGCATACGATTTGTTCAGGCTGCTAATGGCCGAGATGTTGGAGAATGGCGTCGGCCCACTGCTGATTCGCTGTGGCTCGACAGCCGGCGGTGGTGGATTGTCAATCTTCTCGAAGACATTGGTGGCGTCGCGCAGTTTGTAGCGGCGCAGATTCAAATACAGCTCCTTCTGCTCCTCCACGCGCTGGTGGAGCTCGTGCAGGCGTCCTGCCAGCGAGATGAAGGCCTCGCTCAGTTGCCGGAAGCCGCGCGTAAGATCCTCGGGCGCAATGCTCTGCGGATTGGCCAGGGCGTGCATGTGCCGCTCGGTGAGCGTAATCTGCTCCCGAAAGGCAATCAAATCCTGCTCGTACTTGACCACCAGACACTGAAAGTACTGGAACGGCGCATTGTTCTCGTACTGCAGCCCAATGGGCGTATCCTGCGTCCGCTGTGCCATCTCCAGGGACTGTATGGCCTTGGCCGTCTCCATGCGCAGCAGCTTGATCTGCTGATTATTGGTGTCCACCGAGTTGGCCATGTTCTGCAGCGCCCACGCGAGGCTCGTGATCTCGTGCGTCACATTCGAGAACTTTGAAGTGGACGTTCGTCCAATGTCCGAGGAGGTGGTCTTCTGCTGCTTAATGTACACCTTCAAAGCCTCCACTGTCTTGACGATCTCATCGGGCACTTGTGTTTCCTTGATCTGCCAAAGGATTGTTCATATTGTTGGATTTCGATTGCATTCTGTGACTCACCTTGATGCCATCCTTTTTGTTGTCTCCCAGCTTGGGCTGCGTGGCGCTCACATCGATGCCGCCCAGTCCCACAAATGTGGCGGTAGCTGTCGGCTGCTGGCCAGTCGGTTTGCCAAAGATTCCACTCCCCACGGCAGACGTGGTGCCGCCTAGCCGCAGGCCTGTGTTAAAAGGCTGAGCCGTGGCCGTCGTGGTATTTGTGTTGAAGTTCAGACTGGCCGCCGTCGTGGCCTGCGGCTTTGCGAACGCAAAGGAACCAATGCCCGCAGTCAGAGCTGGTGGCATGCCAACTGAAGTGGCCGGTGCGGTGGTGGCTGTGCTGCCAAAGCCAAAAGCAGGCGGTGCCGTGGTCGGAGCACTCGTGGCCGGCGGCGCAAAGGAGAATGTGGGCGCTACGGTGACAACGGCAGGAGCTGCTTGGCCGAACGGCGACGCTGTTGTAGCGGCTCCGAATGCTGGAGCTGCTGCTGGTGCTCCAAATACTGGCTGTGCCGTGGGTGCTCCAAATCCTGGCTGAGCTGTGGGTGCTCCAAATCCTGGCTGTGCGGTAGGGGCTCCAAATCCTGGCTGTGCTGCTGTGGCTGCTGCGAATCCCAAAGACGTGGGTGCCTGTCCGAAAGCTGAGGTTGCTGGTGCCTGTCCAAAGGCTGAGGTCGCTGGTGCCTGTCCGAACGGCGATCCTCCTGCAGCTTGTCCAAAGGCTGGTGCTGCGGTTGCTCCAAATGCCGGAGGCGGTGCTGTTGTTGTCGCTGGACGCGCGCCAAAACCGCCGAAGCCACTCGCTGCGGGTGCTGCGCCTCCAATTCCGGCATTGGTTGTGGGCGTAAACGAAAAGGACATCTTTTCTGCTCAGATTCAACTAACTTCACAAAAATTTAAATGAATTTAAATAATTATAAACAAAAATGTGCGTCAGTGGGAATGCAACAGCGTATCGATATCAAATCTATCGATAGTTTTGTGGCCGATCGTATATCACCCTGTATCTGATACAATTACTTTTAATAAAATGAAACAAATTATTATGATATGGCAATTCAAAAACAATTAAATCCAAATTGTATTAACTCTTGATTATATTGTATACCTGGTGCACGCCTACTACAGGGTTGTTTCGGCATGCATGTGACTTGTCTCAAATTGAAATGTACGGTATCTTTAATACCATTCAAAACATCGTAACCACGAAAATGAGTTCAATATGTGTATTTACTGTATATTGGTATATTTAGTGAATTTATGTGCATTTTTTTTATTTGTCAAGAGCAGCTTGGGAAACAGTAGGAACACAACGTTTAATTATACCAACTGACAAGCAACATGTTGTCAAATAACATAAAATTGCGTTTGTAGTCATAACATAGATCAAGTTCGTTTACCAGGACGGTGACAAGAAATGGATCATGAATCGGTTATTAAGTTGTCCTGGTGAACGCACACTATTTTAATCAAATCGTAAATAACACTATGATACAAAAACAGTTGTATCCAAAATTGTAGTTCAAAATAACTACGTAGTATCCCTGGTATAATCGTCCCACCCTGGGACACGCACACCACCTCGCGCAGGGTTGCTTCTGCATGTGTGTGACTCGTCATATGACAATTTTCGACCAGCAAATAATTCCACAGTCGCCGTCGTCACTTGCTTTTTTCTTCTTGGTCAGCACAGCACGTAAAAACGTAAAGTCAGATTAAAAGATGGCCAGCCAGACGCAGGGAATCCAGCAGTTGCTCGCTGCAGAGAAGAAGGCCGCCGAGAAGGTGGCAGAGGCAAGGAAACGTAAGTGAAATTGGAACAATTTTAGTCTCAATCCAATTGGAGAAACAGATACAGAAAGCAGAGGCAAAAGCGACTGCGTTTTTTCAACCACCCCCTCGCGCATCGCCCCTTATCGACGTTACGTTTGGTGGGTCACATGACTCGCTGAAAAACAGTAAATATTGTGCAAGTTCACTAATAACTGTTTTTTCGTTCTGGATTTTCACCTACTCCCACATAGGCAAGGCAAGGAGGTTGAAGCAGGCCAAGGACGAGGCCACTGAGGAGATTGAGAAGTTCCGTCAGGAGCGGGAGCGCGCCTTCAAAGAGTTCGAGGCCAAGGTTAGTTTCCCATCTTCAATCCGATATACCGAACTCAAGCTAATCCCCTACGATCCCACCCACACCTATAGCACATGGGCAGCCGGGAGGGCGTTGCTGCTAAGATCGATGCGGACACCCGCGTGAAGCTGGCTGACATGGAGCGTGCCATTGTTACGCGCAAGGAGCCCGTTATCCAGGAGATCCTTCAGTTCGTCTACAACATCTCGCCCGAGGTGCACAAGAACTACACTGCCAAGTAGTGAGTGGGACAGAGGAGTACCTCCATTATCCGTACTCGTATCCGTTTTCGCATCCATCTCCGACGGCGACGTTTCTGATGTAAATTCTATGTCCAAGTTCAACTCTAATGTATAATTTAGCTCCATAATAATAGTGCATGCAATATGAAACACTACTGTATTATTATTCCATATATTAAAGTGAAAAAATTCGTTGTTGTTCCCCCTAAAATTGAGCCAATAGATATTTAATATTTTGTTTAATGTTCTGTTCAATACACGTTGTTATTTTTATGAGAAAAGTCATGTGTTTCCCTGTTGTATTTATTGATTAATTGAGTTCTTAATTATCTTACACTTTTATGTACATGCATGGAGTCAGCTGCTTGTTTCTGATAATAAATAACAGTAGTCGATATTTTCTTTCGGCTCGTTAGTATCATCTCTATGAGTGGATGATATAATAAGTTGTAAGTTAATATGACTTTTAATATACGACAAGAAATAACAGTAATCAATCAAATAACTACCATACAAGCAAAGATAGAAAATATCGACTACAATCCTCCACCCTATCGATCAAATAATTGTATACGATCGGCAGAATGGCAGACATATATTTTAGAGCAAAGGAACAATATTGTTATAGTTTTCAATCAAAAATATAATCGACCCGATGAAATCGTTTATCTCATTATATGTATATCTCATTACATGTAATGTATGTATCATAGGCCCATATGTAGCTACATACATACATGCAGTGTCATACGACCATAAGTGGAATGTTATGTATCGGTATGTTTCGATATATTTACCATCACTACAAATTGGCAAACGGTTTTTTCTCCTCTCACGTTCCCTCCGCGCGCAATTCTCCTAAAACACAATAATTATTTAAATCTACGCTGCACCTTCCTTCCTCCGGCACAAAGTGCGAAAGTGAACCTTTTTAGAATTGTGATATTAGATAATAGAGCAAGGCAATGCAGTGGCACAGATGAAAGTTGACCCGCGCCATCAATATTTTTGGCAACACACACACACACACACACGCACGCCGCGCGCGCACACGACTCACACAGATGCCTTGTGAAAGTAGAAGAGAAGTGGTGGGGGGAAGCAGCAAGACTCCGCGAATTGGCTAAATTTAAAAGTTGCCACTAAGCAAAATGCTAAATTTAGACAGCGTCGATGAAGCGTCCCCCCCTCCACCAGAATGTTCACAGCTTCTGCTGGAGGAGAAAGCGGGGACTCCCGAGGCGCCTGCTGTCCATCTGGAACCGCCATACAGCACCCCGCTGGCCCCCTTCGACATGGAGCTGATGCAGCGCGTCGGCCTCAGCGATAAGCTGAAGGGCAGCGGAAGCCTCTGGGAGGGCCGCAACAGAGGCCAGACAGCCGATCCAACGACGGATTTTATGTACCAAGAGCGAGAGGCTGCCGGCGGAGAGCACCGAAAGTCGTCAAATGATTCACTCTCTGATAAGAGAGCCAGATTCGCTGCAAGGTAAGTCAAGTCCAATGGAGCTGACTAAATAGAGGAAATATCCATTAAATTAAAGATAATTGCTCCTGGTTTTTGTCGACTGTTTGTTGTCTGTCTATTGTCCGTTTTCTGTAATTGAGTTTGGTTTGTTTTGTTAGGAATACAGGGTGTTCCAGCAGGTAGTTTTCTTTCCACTTTCAAGCGCACCCTGTACACTTTTATCTGTAGCATATGTTGATCATTCGCACTTGTTGCTATATGCATTGGGTAAATAAACAGAAAGTGCGATTCACTGTTCTTAGTCAAATATTTAGTGGGATTATATTATACTTATATACTCTTACGGATGTGGAATGTCAGTGGGTTTTCAATGATCATTCATCATTCAATGACTCAGACAAAAAGAGAGAGAGAGAGAGAGCATCCTATATTAGTTTCAGACATCCCCCTGTTCTGAATATTAATCTACAATTGATACAGTAATTACCCAATGGACTAATTTCCTATCATAAATAGCACATCAATTTCCCTTTGTGTTTGAAATATAAGAAGAGAGGGATTACATTCAAATGTACACAAATACATATGTAAACGTACATATGTATGTACCTGTATTTGATCTCTCGACTGGGCAAAAACATGTGCTCGACATTCGCTCGACACTCTCTCAGCCGCCAGCTGACTGAAGTACTGTCTAAACTAGGCAATTTGTGTGATGCACTCGATGCACACACACTTTCCCCAAACTTGCTGCTCGAAAATGTATAGAATTAGTTTATTTTGAGTTAATAATAAGAATTGCCGCTTCAATTGGTAGGGAAAATCCGAAATCAACATCAAAGCAGTTAATGTGAACCCGCTGATTTTTTGTTTAACCTGTACTTAAGTAATTTCAAGAGGGATTATCATTTGCCGGCTTGTCTGTGTCTTGCTCTTCGCCCAGCTGACAGACAGCACTCTCTTGTTTCGGGTTTGTTGTTGCTGCTGCTGCTGCTGCGCGTTGGAGCTCTTTGTCGCTCTTTGGCGCTCTCTCGTTGTCAGTGCCAACGTTTGTTGGATTATAATTTCAATTTTCTGAACACTCAATTCACAAACATCGGGCGAACCAGAAGCAAAAACTTACAGGGAAGATTTTTCCGCGCGCTAAATGTGATATTACACCCGCTGGTGGGTCAATTAATACCTTTATTATACGTACGCCCGATCACCTTTCGCAGAAACGGGTTTACCGTAGTATTTCCCCTGTTTTGTGTTGCCTGTGGATTAATCATCTGTTTTGCGGGAGAAAAGTAAAAGACAACGGTTTACTTCCATGTGTGTGTGTTTGTGCATTTTGCGGATCTTGTAGCTTGGATGATTAAACGGATCATGCATAGAATCTACATTAATTATATAAGAAACATTTCGGGGAAACAATTTTCCGTCACCTTTTGCTGCTCTGCTTCCTTCGGATGGGTGACAAATATTCGACAAAGCATCGCCACAAATGTTTAATAAATTAGTGTCTCTCTCTACATATGTCAGCCCGGCGCGCTCTCTCTCTCTTGGCCTTGATTAAAGCTAAATAAATGGCAAAATTTTTAATGTGTGGGCCAACAAACCAAAAACAATAAGAAATTGTGTTTAAATTTTCATTTTTTGTTTGAAAGAAGTTGAAGATAATTATGACTCGTCGCGAGCCAAGGCTGAAAAGTGTGTAAAATATGAAATACGGCTATGCTTGATGAGCCGAGCGCCACCGACATGAAAAAAGAGTAAAAAACAGAATGGAGGAAACAAAGGGAAACATAAAGCTTAACATACAACTTGTGGAAATAGGAGGGGAATTACGACAAAGTTAAATTACCTTCCTTATAGAATTTCACACAGCCGAAGGTAGGGTATCTAAAGTTTCGATCACCGGCACCTGGCCTTCCTCTTCGTGATTTCGCTGTCTCGATTTTCTCCGGTGGCTGTTCTATTTCTAGTCACTGCCGATAAATATTTTGCATATTTACTTATAAAATGCAGTGGTTCCCCTAGTCTCATTCCACTTTGTGGAAAATAGTCTGTGCCCCATTCACATATTACTTATACTGGCACTTAAGGCCTTGAAACAGTGGAAAATATTATCGAGTTACTCTTTCAATGGAGGTTGAATCAACAATTCAAATCTCTGGACCCCATCTCTTGTACCATTAAAAATAATGTAATTGACAGGGGCTGTCTTCATGTCATGGCTTATCAAGTTTTGTCAGCCTATTTATAGCTGATAAGAACTTGGCCCTTCTACAACCACAATCCCATGCAGCATCTTGGGGGAATAATACCCCATTTATGAGTAACTTCAATTACTCATTTGATTGCACTTTGGAAGTTAAGGTACATTTTGTATTGTATTATTTATGATCGGATGTATTCGTGAATCATAGGAGACTCAAAAGCGACTCAGCTTTTCTAGCGCTCAAATATCAAGTGTTTGCTTATATTATTTACAAATATTTTTGCACATTATCAACTGAATGTGAGGCACTGCACTTAGCTCTTAAAATAATGTATACAAAAGACTAAACGAAGATGGAACAGAAAGACTGCTGGCTAAACAAGTAAAAGCTGAGCAAAAATAGAGAAATTATTAACCTGATGTCATGTGTGTCAGACTGCTCTCCTGGTGTGTCCATTAAATGGTTTCAACGCGTTGAAATAATATTAGCTTTGGGGGTTCACCCTGGTAGTGACCTAAATAAGGTGAGGGTGTAACATTAACACGCTAAGCGGGGGGTCCTATAGGGACATTAATGGACTTCAAACTGTTTTACCCAATAACCAAGACTGAAAGCATTCCATTCCTCAACTGTATTATTTGTTACAGCAACGCCTCCACGCTCCAACTGCCAGAAGCTGCTGCCGGGCCTGTGGCTAATGGCAAAAAGAAGTCCTCCGCTCCAAGGAACCATCATCATCATCTCTCAAGCCCCTTGCTGCCAATGACTGAACCCAATTCGGGGAATAATGGCTACGATGAACGCGAATGCAGTTGCCCCAGGGAGTTTTACCAGCGGGAGGAGATCAACACATCGCTGTTCTTCGAGGACTGCATGCGATCCATTGACTTTGTGCTGGCCTACAGGATCAATGCCCACGAACCCACCGAGGCGGAGAACACAGAGAAGCGACGCGTGTTCGAGGCGAATCTCGTGAGCCAGGGCCTCGAGGTGGAAAAAAGTCAAAAGGATCAGATTTGTTTTGTCAAGGTGGGCCTTAAATTTTTCCAAAATGAAACCTCACTAATGAGTATTTTACTCCTTGCAGATCCATGCTCCTTTGGAGGTGCTACGCCGCTATGCGGAGATACTTAAGCTACGGATGCCCATGAAGGAGGTTCGTTTACGATTTAATTCTTTGAAGACTGTTTAGGCCCTGAGACTACATTTGAAATTCTGTTGAAAATTCCCATTGTTTTGTTATTTCGCGTTCTAAATGTATGATTTTTTGTATGTTCTTTATGTTTCTTTGTGTGTTTTTTAGTCCTTGTGTAATTTGCGTATATATGAAAGAACGAATCGACTACAGAATGCGGCACAATACTTGTCGAAGAAGGTTGGCCCAGACGTTGTTGAATCAGTTAAATATTTTAAATAATTAATACCTCTAAAACCTAGGCTTAAATGTTATTGAAATGTGCTGTGAGTTGATGTATGAAAGAAAACCTAATCCCGAGCCTAACATTGTTGTAGAATTATCAATTGAAAGTATTACCTTTTAGTAAGCCATTGCTTTGATTATCTTCATTTTAAGCATTCAATTCTACATATATTAATATCTATTTCGATAACTCTTGCAGATCCCTGGCATGTCTGTGGTCAATCGTTCGACGAAGAGCATCTTTTCTAGTCTGAAAACCGTGTGCCAATTCTTTCTACGGAATATCCACGTGGATGAGCATATTTTCCCCAAGAGGGCGCATCGTTTTACTGCCATTTACAGTCGCGATAAGGAATATCTGTAAGTGGGAGAGCACAACCATCCATGTTCTGTTTCATTTATCTTCTCTTCTTTGCTAGCTTTGATATACGACAGGACTGCTTCTTTACCACCGCCGTGCGATCGCGCATTGTGGAGTTTATATTGGATCGACAGCGCTTTCCTGCCAAAAATCAACATGACATGGCCTTTGGCATTGAACGATTGGTGGCCGAGGGCGTCTACTGTGCGGCATATCCATTGCATGATGTGTGTATACCCTAATTATATACCAGATCTTTTATAGCTGATATTTACTCATTTTTCAGGGCGAAATAACCGAAGCGGGCACAATGAGAGCTTTGCTCTACAAACATTGGGCATCCGTGAGGAAATGGTATCGCTATCAGCCGCTGGATGACATCAAAGAATACTTTGGAGTTAAAATTGGTTCGCATATAACACATATACTCAAAGGGCGACTACTTTACTATAGATTTATCGCATCTTTAGGTCTGTACTTTGCCTGGCTGGGTTACTACACCTACATGCTGCTGCTAGCCTCCATTGTGGGTGTGATATGCTTTCTATACTCCTGGTTCTCCCTTAAGAACTATGTGCCTGTGTAAGCTTTAGATGTCTGCCATCAATTCTTACCTTAACTAATGGAAAACTCCATTTCAGCAAAGATATCTGCCTGCGTGCGAATACAAATATAACCATGTGTCCCCTCTGTGATTGGTGCAACTTTTGGGACCTAAAGGAGACCTGCAACTATGCCAAGGTCACGTATCTCATCGACAATCCCAGCACGGTTTTCTTTGCCGTCTTCATGTCCTTTTGGGCCACCCTCTTCCTGGAGTTGTGGAAGCGCTACTCCGCGGAGATAACCCATCGCTGGGATCTGACGGGTTTTGATGTACACGAAGAGCATCCCAGGCCGCAGTATTTGGCAAAGTTGGAACACATACCACCCACCAGAGTGGACTATGTGACGAATATCAAAGAGCCAACGGTTCCTTTTTGGCGCATGAAGCTGCCAGCGACTGTTTTTAGCTTTTCGGTGGTGCTGCTACTCATTGCCTTGGCTTTTGTGGCCCTTTTAGCTGTGGTGGTGTACCGCATGTCTATGCTGGCAGCATTAAAAGTGGGCGCCAGTCCCCTGACCACCTCGAGTGCTATTGTATTGGCCACTGCCTCGGCGGCGTTTGTGAATCTGTGTTTGCTCTACATCCTGAATTATGTGAGTGTGACCCTTGAAAATTTTTCTGCTGATTTATTTAAGTGTAATCTCTCTTATCAGATGTACAGCCACCTGGCGGAGTACCTCACAGAGTTGGAAATGTGGCGCACACAAACGCAATTCGATGATTCGCTGACTCTCAAGATCTATCTGCTGCAGTTTGTCAACTATTATGCCTCGATATTTTACATAGCATTCTTTAAAGGCAAATTTGTGGGACATCCAGGCCAGTATAACAAACTATTTGACTATCGACAGGAGGAGGTGAGTTACATGCCACTGAAAGTAATCTTCTATGAGCTAATCTTTCCCTGAACTCTCTTTTAGTGCTCTTCTGGTGGCTGCCTAACTGAGCTGTGCATTCAGCTGGCCATAATAATGGTGGGCAAGCAGGCATTCAACACTATTCTCGAGGTTTACCTGCCCATGTTCTGGCGCAAAGTGCTGGCCATTCAAGTGGGACTGTCGCGCCTGTTTAACAATACCCCAAATCCCGACAAAACCAAGGACGAGCGTTGGATGCGTGACTTTAAGTTGCTGGATTGGGGCGCACGCGGTTTGTTTCCAGAATATTTGGAAATGGTTTTGCAATACGGATTTGTGACCATCTTTGTGGCTGCCTTTCCGCTGGCTCCGTTTTTTGCTTTGCTCAATAATATTCTGGAAATGAGATTGGATGCCAAGAAGCTCCTTACACACCACAAGCGTCCCGTGTCGCAGCGTGTCAGGGATATTGGAGTGTGGTATAGGATACTGGATTGCATTGGAAAGCTAAGTGTGATTACAAATGTGAGTGTGGAACAGTGAATCCCTTAGAATCATATAGAAAGCATCTCCAAATACTGTATATTGTAGGGCTTTATCATTGCCTTCACATCGGATATGATTCCACGACTGGTCTACCGCAATTATGTCTCCAAAGATGGCACATTGAACGGCTATCTCGATTTCACACTCTCCGAATTCAAAGTGTCAGACTCACCCACCTTGTACAGCCTCGCAGGGGATCTCTCCAACATAACAACGTGCAAGTATGGCTTAGACACTCGAGGATTTGCCTTATGGAATTTCATACTAAAAGGTCGTTCTTTTATTGCAGATACACAGACTTTCGGTTGCCGCCCTCATCACCGGATAAATACGATTTAAGCAGCATGTTTTACATCATCTTGGCCTGTCGTTTAGGCTTTGTGGTGGTGTTTGAAGTAAGCATTTGGTTTACCAGCTTTCATTTCACTTTATTTACCTATAAATGCTTCAAGACATAGTTTCAAAATCGAATCCCCTAAGGATACTTAGTTTCAGGCATTGAATGTGTGAGGATTTGGTTGAATAGCTTCGATATTTTCAATCGGTGTAGACTTTAGCTTCCGATAGAGCGCATAGATGCCATAGGAAAGCAGTGAATTGAGTACTACATGCAGAAAAATCATTTCAAGTTAAAGTTTAAGTTATTAATCATTAAAACACCCACCTAAAAATACGCCAAAGATGAGACTACGCGCTATCCGACGATCCACTGCAGCATCCACTTCATCAATTCGAAGTTCTAGGCTCACAAAAATGCCAGTTTCCACGGCCATCGATAGATAGGTGTTGATCAGCCAAGGGGCAATGCAAATCAGTCGTTTCTGTAGTATAAATCCATGATTTAAACAGAGATTAAACCAAATTTGTAATGCAGTTCCATTACCTGCTTAATGCCATCGACTAGAAGGCATGCCACTGCCAGATTAATCAATGCCTTGACCCAAATAATGAGTGTGGCAGTCATGTAAAAGACCTGCGAGAATTCTCGCACCCAAAGATAATCCACTGGAAAAGGTGTATCTAACTTATAAAACTTATAAATCAATTTTTTTATGATTTACCCAAAGTGGAAACGAATGTGCCAAATGCACTCAAGGCCTCCACATCATTGGACTGTTCCCATCTCTCGAGATCCAAGTAATCAAAGTACAGATAATAAGTAGAGGGACAGAGTATGCTCAGGGCTATGAGGATGTCCAGTACGGCTATGCTAAGACCCACTGAGGAGAGGCTCAGGAATTCAAAGTATTTCATTTTTAAGGATTTAAACTTCTTTTTTATCTTTTTTAATCCTTGAATTTGTTGATTTTTGTAAGCTTGTTGGTTATCCTTTACTTTCACACACACGTCCGCTCGTCTCGAAGTATTCAAAGCTACTGTCTGAAATGCTCCAACTTTCGTGCAGAACTGACCTGCCGCCAATTATCCATTTAGTTGGCATTTCATTTTATTCTATTTTCAGTTTCTTGACATTTTGTCTGCTGCTGCTGCTGCTGCTGCCTCTCTTTCCTTCTCTATCTGCTTATGCTGCTGCCAAAGTCCGATCTATGTTGACGGTGCTGGTTTGCTGTGCTGGTTTCATTCCATGGGGTTTCTATGGGCGTTCCCAATTCCACCGAAAATATTAGGGTTGAGGCTAACACCTGTCTTAGCCCGTCTTAGCCAATTGCATTTACTGTCGCTTGAGTGGAGAAGAATAGGGCTTCTTCTTCATGCACTTCTCTGGGGTGTGACCCACAAATTATTGACAAATCGTGGACAAATGATGACATACTGATGAAATATTATTCTCTATTTCAGAACTTTGTGGCGCTGGTGATGATTCTGGTGCGCTGGTGCATACCCGACATGAGCGTGGAGCTAAGGGATCAAATCCGTCGCGAGGTCTATGTCACCAATGAGATTATTATCGAGCAGGAGGCACATCGTGCACGTTTTGGTTAGGAAAATAATCCTTTCTTATAGATTTGACTTGTACTAAAAGTGTTTATCCTTTTTGTAGAGCGCGCCAAACGCAGCAGTTCGGTTCTACAGACCTCTCCCGACCAGGAAATGGATGCCTCTTCCATTCAGGAGCCCAATGCCAAGTTCATTAGCATTGAGAAGCTGCTCAGCGAGAATCTCACACAAGTGGAACTTGATGCCATCATCCATCTCTCGGACCCCCTCACAGGCATTGCCGGGGCCAACGCCTAACAGAAAACTCCTACATTTTGTGGCACAAATGCATTGTATAAATGCAACTAAAACTGAATCTATAGCTTTAAGTTTCGTTCAAAAGTGATTCATTGTGTTATGGATGTTCCTTTCAGTCACTTAATTAGCCTTTAATTTTCGACTCAATTGTTGATTTTGGTTATAAGCTTTACTCATGGCACAATTGTTATATACGCTCATCTTTTTTTTACTAAAAAATGCTTAGCACACACTCAAAAGTAGTATAAGGTGTACGACCCCTGCCCCCAGTGAGTGCCAAATAATTGGCAAGTAATTTCCTTAGAGAAGAAATGTCACCAAATGTTATTGAACTCAGGCTCTCTCTCTATTTACTATACTAGACAAATATATATTAATGGCAATCATCACATTGTGCTACAGATATTGTATATTGATGTTGATATATAAAAATCTCTATTTAATGTTGGATCATACATACAATAATCATAATAAAACATGTATTTTAAATGAAATGGATTAAGGAACACCTCAGAACTTGGAAATAATCGTAGATTTCGACGTATCAATTACAAATTGAGAAAAACAAGACTGAATCGCTTTTATAACATAGTTCCAGTTAACAAATCTAAGGAGGAACAGGTTTTAAACTAATTTAAATAAGTATTCGATGTGTTAATTTAGTTTTAAGCAGATTTACAGATTAACAGCAGACTGATTTCCTGCATCGATATGCCCTACTATTCCAATAGAAGCGCTCTGTGACGCCATCGACCAGCCCTGGTTTTACCATCCCTACAAGCATCCCATCCCTTTCTATCATCTCAACCTCTTTTTGGCCAAAGAGAGTCAAGGGGGCACTGGCAACAGGCGCAACAAGCATGCATCTGTGTGTCCCCAAAGCACGAAAAAGTTTCCCGAAAGAGTGTGCGCTCTGTCTCTCTCGCTGTTGCTCTCTTTGGCTGCGCATGAGTCGCATTTATGACGTCACAAGAGAAAAGCGTGTGCACGTCGGGGCAGCACGACGCCGTTTCAGCTGTTTTTACCCGCCGCCAGCCAGCCAGCAAGCACATGGCGGGTCATAAAAATAATACATTTTCATTCGTTTGCCTCGTTTTCCACAGTGCAGAGTGCCGCCGCCTCAGAGAAAAGCCCGCCCCGCCGCTCGGAGAAGCGAACGGTCGAGAGTAAAACGCGGCATTTGGCTGCTGCTGCTGCCGCTGCTGATTCAATTCCTGTTCGGTGGATTGGCTTTCAGTTTACTTTACGGATTTTCCGAGTCAACAACGCAAGCAAGGCCAGGCAAAAGGACCAACGCGCCATGTGGGGTTCGATGGCCGTTTGCTGTTCCCGTTCCCGTTGCCGTTGCAGTTTTCCTCGTTTTTCCGGATGCGTTGTGGCCACTGGCCAGTGCAGTGCCTTTCCTGGTGCCTTTTCCCTGGCTACTGACTAGTGGACGTGACTCCTTTGTTGTCCTGGCAACTTTCCCAGCACTATCCGGGCCAACGTGGAATCTTTTCGGTGAGTGATAAATGCAAAAAATGTGTGCTGTTTTATTATAATCATAATTAAATGACATGGAAAACGTTTTAAAGGCGGTTTAAGTCGTGAGGCTTATGTTTGTTTGATGCTTCCTACCAGCTATCGATTTTTGTAGCCGGCAAAAGTATGCAGATTTCCTAGTAAGGGAAAACGTGTCGTTGTCCCTCTTTAGTTATATTCCATCTCTCACTCTCCATCTCTGAGGATGGAACTGACGACAGTTGCAGTGTCCTTTGTGCTCTGAATGGAAGGAGGAGGAGTAGTTCTTTGTTGTGTTGTGACAGCCATGAATATCCAACTAAGGGCCAACGATATCCATCAAAAGCATTGATTCCCATCAACAGCAAAAAGTTCCTTGACCTTGGGCAAGCTAAAAAAAGCGATACAAGAGAAAAAGATTAAAAGCACAACTTTTCAGGGGGTCGCTCTAATGTTAATGATGTTTATTATGTTATTGATTTAATATAAGTCAGTTCTCTGCCCCACTCTCTGTTTTTTTCTGAGTAATTTAATATTAATTCAATAATTATACAAGAGAAATGGAAACGCTCGGGAAACGCTTAAGCAAAGTAGTTTCAATTATTTACTTGGGATTTGGTTGCCAGCAAGCTGTCGTGTGGGAACTGAGCTTTAATTACCGTTCGGGTCTATCAACCTCTGACCCTCTTCCTGCTCGGATTACACTCTGTACACACGTGGAGTGCCCCTGCCCCCACACCCTGAAAATATTCCCTTAAAAGAGTGCTAAATAATGCAAAAACATGTTCTAGTCGTCGGAGGTTAGGTTCGTGTTGTTCTGTTTATTCAGCGAGAGATCTTCCGTTCTGACATTGAATAATGATGTGCTGGTGCCTGCTGCTGATGCTGATGCTTAATGCATTTGGCAGCATGAATATGAAATGAAATACATTTTGACAACCTTATTCATGCAAATCCATAGGGGATAAGCTCTTTCTTTCAATGATTTCTGTTGAGAAAAATCACTCATACGACAGTTGAAACGGGTAAAGGTGTACTCCTTGGGGGTTTCTACCCCCAAAAGTAACTTTTTGAGCTTTAAATATTTAATTTTTACAGATTAATCATCAATTAATACATCACATTTCACCTTTCCAATGGTATTTAGCACAATCCCCGCAACCCCGCAACTGTTCGTTTAGCAATAATTTCGTGTACGCATTACGTATACGCAGTGCTGTTCGAAATGAACATTTCCGGTGAAATAAAATGGGAAAACGAATTTGATAATTTAATTTATATTTCTTATTAAGCCTTTTCTCTGTGAATTCCTAAATTGTATGCCCATTCCTTAAACATTTAATGTATCAAAAATCAAAGACTCGAACATCATCCATCAGAAATCCAAAACTAATTGCTTTGATAGGCAAAACAGAAGCCAAACGGAACCCTAACAGGAACCAACAAGTGGAGGCTGAATGAATGGAATTTCCTTTCAACATGGGAGAAAGCATAAAAGCAGGAATCCATAGAAACGGCTGACGCATGGAAATTTTCTTCATATTTTTGGGTGGGTCTAAGGGGGAGTCTTTCTTTGTATGCAATTTCCTACCCAAAACTTTTGCGTATATATCACCATGGCACACGCGATTTGCTCGCTTATAAATTATAGCAATGTCTGCTCTTTCTATATATATTGTGCATGTCCTTGAGTTACTCTATAAATAGATTCCCCCCTTCGGAACCTCTCAAAGACAACGATGTCAAGTTCCGTTTACACACGACAGGAGACCCCCTCTCTATCCCCTTGGATAGCCCTTCCCGCTGTGCGTCCGTTTCGTTAGCACAATTGTAAAATATATTAGATGGTAATTTTCACATCTTACCACGCACAATGCTCTCTGCTGATTTATTGCCAGTGTTCCGGCATTTGAAGTAGGACTTGGACTCCTCTGTTGTGATTGCCTGGGTGAAAGCCGATCCAGTTTCTATATAATACCAGGCGCCTGCCACAATCTGCGTCATTCGAGTGTTTAATTAATTTGTTATTTTTCATCGCAATCGCGTATCCAAATTAGCGAAGACATAAATCCAAGTCGATAAACAAAAAAACCCACTCGAGCATAAGCATAACTAATTCTGATTTAAATCACACGAATAATTCAAACAGAACTATCTAGAAAAGTTAGAGGTAATTCAGTTTAAAATCAGGATTAAATTAGTGGAATTAAAGAAGATATTTTAGAGCCAGGTGCAAATGGGAACATTTACCATTAAAAAAGGGGCATTTTAAAACCAGATTTTATTTAGATTTTTCATGTAATTCCAAATCTCTGATCATTGCCATTACTCTCCACCAATATCTTAAATCATTTCCCCAATCAATTATTCCTTCCAAAGCTCAAAATCCTATTTAATCCTACGGATATTCACTTATTTCTTCACTTCCTCAAACGTTCAGCCAACAATGTACCCCTCTGGCTAGCAGCAAATCACTTTTAAAGCTACTTCTAATGCCACATTGATATTGTGATTCATTGTTAAACAAATTGAGCTGATAAGTGTCACACTTTTGAAGGCAGTTCTTATCAGTGGACACAAAATGTAATGAATGAATGTAGTAAAAGAGAATGAAAGACAGGGAAATAAGTAGTACACACTCGTAATTCCCAAAATAAGTGTTCTAGATCAATTAAAAATATAATTGACATTTGAAAC